ACTGCCAGGCACAAAATTGTCCGGAATGGACAAAATACGAAATGATGAAGTGTAGGTAAGAGTAAGTGAATGAATAAGTAAATAAATTTGCCTTTGCTGGGATTTGATCGTACGACCGTTGCACACGAGTCCAGCGCACTGGCATATGACCTAAATATTATGTCGTTATTCCTACTACCAAATAACTATATTAATATCACATTATATTTAGCATCTTAGTAGATAGTTAGGCCTATTTGCCTAATAAGATAATTAATAAACATTTTTTGTTAGAGTCTGTATGAATAATTTTATGCTTGTCTTTAGGCTCGAACTGATAGATTAAAATAAATATATGTTTATACTATATATAGCCTGCGATATTTATTTCCTAATTTGTAATACATCCACATAGTCAGAGTACAGTACCTGAAACTATGCTATCTTCTACACACTCACATTCTAATAAGCAAATAAAGCAGTATATCAGTGATACCAACATTAAGATCTAATATTTACGTTCACATATTTTGTGATAGCAAAAGTGCGTATACTTAATTGCCGTTCTGACCCATATTTTGCGAATAAAGCTCTAACGTCTTCATCCGAGCTATAGGGAACAGCTAGGGAGTTTTCACAACGCCGAGTTACGAAGAAGGCGTGTGGATTCTCTGTTTATACAAAATTCCAGTCTTGTTTATTAGGTCTAGTTTGCATTCATGGCGCGGATGATTCACAAGCTGTTTTCAGTTGTTTCAAATGTTAGCACACAGACGTATGTCTGTAGAAATATAAAATCTAAAAGTTGTAAATTTAAACGCAATTGCCTACGCACTTTTGTCATTTGAGATAAATTTATTATTATCGTGTATGTACCATATAACGTGATTAAAAGTTACACAACCTGCAAGTCTACCGAAGTGACTAGATGTTCACTTAAAAATGAAACAGCAAAATATAAATGTATTTCTATTTTAATGGGGGGGGGGGGTTGAATATAAAATGGTATGTTACCGGCATCTTTAATTAGCAGGTAACCAGCAGTTTCGGAGAAATGTTAAACACTTCTGTTTTGCACGACATGTTTTAAATGCTGAGTTGCCTAAACAGATGTCATTGGTGTAATTAGGTTAGTAGCCATAGCAACGCAGGACAAGTGATTAAATTAGTGACGTAACAGGGACAAAAAGTATAGGCCTGTGGAGCGTGAGCTAATGCAATTAAAGGGACTAC